GGCTGCTGGAGAGGGTGGCGGCGCGGGAGCCCGAGGGCCCCGGCGACCAGGCGGCGGGGACGCCGTAGGCCTCGGCCAGGAGCAAAGTGCTGGGTCTCTTTCTATCCCATGCTTCTTATCCAGCTTTATTTTTTTATAGTTTATGCACAAATGTTATATATCAGAAATATATTCTTGGACTAAAATTTAAAATAACTTTCGTTACACCCATCCTTTTATAGGTTTATCACACACCTCATACTAAGTTAACCTGCAAGTGACAGGACTAATATTCTTCTCACAGTTATATTACTAAGAGCCATCACATTAGTCTATCATTGAGTTGTAGGCCTATAAACTATAAACGTACCTACCTCGTGGGAACAAAAAAAAACAAAAAAAAAACACTGGAAATGTAAATAATATATGCAGACAGAACAAACAGAAGAGAACCCCGCAGCCACATTAGAGAGTACATAATAATAATAATAATAATAATAATAATAACAATAATAATAATAATAATAATAATAATAATAATAATAATAATAACGCTAATAATAATAATAATAACAATAACAATAACAACAACAATAATAATAATAGTAATAATAACAATAATAATAATATAAATAAATAAAAATCAGGGTAAAAGAATACACCCGTAAACAGCTGATCCGCTGCCTCACCCCGAGTGCGAGGAGGTCCTCCAGCAGCAGGCGAGAAGGGCCAGGAGCACCCCTAACAACAGGAGGACGGGCGTTGGGGCACGGGCGCTGCTGCTGTTGTCGTCGTCGGAGGGGAGGCCGTACCACACCCGGAGGGACTCCCGCAACAGCTGGGCGTCGCGGGAGTCCACTGGCACGCTGGTGGTACCCTCCGAGTTCGGAGAGGCGGGGTCGTTCGGCCTGCGGGAGGGAAGGACGGGTCAGGCCTGGCTACTTTCCTACTTTGGATCTTTTCTGTCTTTTCTTTCTTTCTTTCTTTCTCTCTCTCTCTCTCTCTCTCTCTCTCTCTCTCTCTCTCTCTCTCTCTCTATATATATATATATATATATATATATATATATATATATATATGTATATATATATATATATATATATACATATATATATATATATATATATATATATATATATATATATATATATATATATATATATATATTTATATTTATATTTATATTTATATTTATATTTATATTTATATTCATATCTATATCTATATCTATATCTATATCTATATCTATCTCTATCTCTATCTCTCTGTGGCGTATCGCCTGTGTTATTCTTTAACAATCGAAATATTGAAACAAGTGAAGGTAACCCAGGAAAGTCTCAAAGAGATGTATACCACATGGCATCCTTCCCTAACCATTTGTTTGTACGCAGTTTCGCACCCCGTTGCTTCATCAGGCGAATCTGACACGAGTATTAGCTTTTGACCTGGCTCAGGACCTAACTCAGGAAAACGTGAAAAATGAGTTTCCCTCTCTCCCTCCCTTTCACTCTCACTCCCTCCCTTTCCCTCTCACCCCCCCTTTCCCTCTCACTTCCTCCCCTTCTCACAATCCATACCGTGTCCTCCATTCTCTCTCCCCCCCCCCCCCTCTCTCTCTCTCTCTCTCTCTCTCTCTCTCTCTCTCTCTCTCTCTCTCTCTCTCTCTCTCTCTCTCTCTCTCTCTCTCTCTCTCTCCATCTGCCTCCATTCCCTCCCTCCTTCCCTCTCTCTCTCTCCGTCTTCCTCCATTCCATCCCTCCCTCTTTCTCTCTCTCCCTCTGCCTCCCTCTCCCACAATCCATCCCGTTTCCTCTATTCCCTCCTCCCACCCTTCCCTTCACCTTCCCCTTTTTCTCCCCTCTCCTTTTCCCTCTGTAAAATGATCAACGAAAGTCCTCGGCCTGTGTGTAGCCATAACACCCGAGACTCCACAGGCCGTGGTATGTTACAGGGAAGTCAGGAACGAAAGTCACCCGCAGTGTATTCACGAGAAAAAAAAATGTGATTGGTGCCTATTGATAAGATAGATGATGTGTGTCGTCCCTTTATGAAACGTCCTGATTAGATATAATACGTGTAAGTTATCAGTGAGAGAAAAAGCGATGGGGAAAATTAGGACAAGGCAATAGGGAGAACAACCTGTATGTACGCGTGTGTGTGTGTGTGTGTGTGTGTGTGTGTGTGTGTGTGTGTGTGTGTGTGTGTGTGTGTGTGTGTGTGTGTGTGTGTGTGTGTGTGTATGTATGTATGTATGTATGTATGTATGTATGCATGTATGTATGTGTGTGTGTGTGTGTGTGTGTGTGTGTGTGTGTGTGTGTGTGTGTGTGTGTTTATACACACACATACACACACAACAGCCACACAAGCAACGGAGAGCTGCAGCGGGCGCATTCATGAAAGTCTTACCATGAGAGGAAATGAATAAATATACTGACATAAGGTTTAATATTTGTCTTGATACTTTTCATGACACATAACTAATTACAAGCCCACGACTAAAATTTATTGTTATAGTTAAGTGTTAAAACTGAATTGTGAACTCATTCAAAATCTAACGGTTAAAACTCCTACTCCCTTCCCCCCGTATTCATCCACGTCCTCTTTTTCACCATCATTGTCATTATCAACATTATCTGACGTTGTAGGCTTATGCCATATCAACTCTTAGAGGTCTGAGTAAGGTCTGTAACAGCCTTATCTCTTCCGCACGTTTATACCCTACGTGTTATCAGTCTTTCTTTTTCTTTAGGCCTATGTCACATGGCAGTCCTACCTGTCCGTTTTGCGCATTTAACACCCATCGTGTTACCCCTATTTAGGTCTATAGCTACTATAGATTCTCACTACAATGTCCTTTTAACGAGTTACCCCTACTATTTTAGTCTACAAATACTATAGTTTCTCACGACAATGCCCTTAACGCATAGGCCTAATTCCCGTATTTCAAGCTCAGTATTTTCATAAACTATAGTTGTAATTTACGCACGTCGTATCGACAGATGTACAGCTAATTGCGAGCAAGCACTCAGCGGATGAGCGAACCAAAACAAGCCAGGTCTCGCTAGCAGCTTTCCCAACATGCTTCTCTCCCTTCGAAACTCTATGTCTTCAGTTTCCTTGTTATTTTATTTGTTGTTTTTCTCCTTTCTCTCTGACTGTATTACCCCCGGACATCAGTATCTCTGTCGACGCTGACCCCCCAAAATATCAAGTTATAACTGATTATTGCTGTTCGGACGCCCTTCTGCGAGGAGTGCTGACGATGCATTGCTGAGCTTGCACTTGTCTTCTCACCGCCCATCACGTCAATCGATGCAGCCTTCATGTCATGATAAACGGCTACAAACACTTAGTCTCGGCCCTGGTCAGTTCATTCCCTCGAGGTGTCCATGGGAAAAGATTTAGCATGTCATTTTTTTTAAGTTCATATCACACTATCCCTTTTCCGTATTTTTTTTACGTTTACATATAATCTTTCCGTATGCAAATGAACTGACCTGATCACAGTACCAAGGCAGCACACGAACCTGGCGCCATCCAGGGAATTATGTTAAAGAAATATAATGAGGTATTTACATAGAAATATTCAAAAAAAAAAAAAAAAACGATTATCAAAAAAAAAAAAAAAAATCTAGTTGTATATAACCTCCGTATCACAAGAATGACGGACGGAAACGGCCGCCTGTTTACATGCGTTACTTGCGGAAAACCTCAAATTCAGATGAAAACGTAAAAATATGACAAAAAAAGAGCTAGTGTGATAGGGCGTTTTGCGTCTTGCCTTATTCACACATTTTGCCCGGTCATGGTATTAAGGTCTCGGTCAATCTGTTCAATCAATCACTCTCACTCTCTCTCGCTCTCTCTCTCGCTCTCGCTCTTGCTCTCGCTCTCTCTCGCTCTCTCTCTCCCTTTTTTCTTTTTCTTCCTTTTTTCTTTTCTCCCTTTTCTTACTTTTCTCCTCCTTTCCCTCTCTTCTCTCTTTCCCATTTCCCTCTCCTCCCCTTTACCTTCTCTCTTCACTCCATTTCTTCTCTCCCCCTCTTCTTCTCATCTCCCTTTTCCCCCGTTTATTTTCCCCTCGTCTAAACTGTTCCCAATCTTCTCCCTCCTCCCCTTTTATTCTCTTCTGTCGCATTCCCTTCTCCCTTCCTCCTTTCCCTCCATCCTTTCCCCTTTTTCCCTCCTTCTTCACCCTTTCCCTCTTCTGTCGCATTCCCTTCTCCCTTCCTCCTTTCCCTCCATCCTTTCCCCTTTTTCCCTCCTTCTTCACCCTTTCCCTCCTTCCTTCCCCCTTTTCCTCCATCCTTCCCCCTATCCCTCTTTCTTCACCCTTTCCCTCCATCCTTCCCCCTTTCCCTCCTTCCTTCCCCCTTTTCCTCCATCCTTCCCTCTTTCCCTCTTTCTTCACCCTTTCCCTCCTTCCTTCCCCCTTTCCCTCCTTCCTTCCCCCTTTTCCTCCATCCTTCCCTCTTTCCCTCTTTCTTCACCCTTTCCCTCCTTCCTTCCCCCTTTCCCTCCTTCCTTCCCCCTTTTCCTCCATCCTTCCCTCTTTCCCTCTTTCTTCACCCTTTCCCTCTTTCTTCACCCTTTTCCTTCCATTCTTCCCCCTTCCCCCCCCTCGGAATTCCCCCTCAAGGACGACTCACCCTAGCGGCTCGGGATCTATTCTGACCCAGAGGTCATTGAAGTGGGCGTGTTTTCTCGAGGGTTCGCTGGTTGTGGGCGGTCCCCTGTGTCTTCTGGCCCCGCCCCCGGCTGCTTGCTCAGAGAGGAACCTGCGAAGATATATTGTATTTAGTCATATTGCACGTTTAACCCTAAATATTTTTTTTTTCAATGGCTCTTATAATGGCGAATTACGTCACATATTTGTAGAGCAAAAAAAAAGAAAAGAAAAGAAAAGAAAAAAAAACTGATACCTTTATAGACCTACTCTTGTTTTTATTCTTTATTTTTTTTATAAATACAGGAGGCATTTGTGATATTTATTTATATATGCATTTCTATACAAATTACTATACATAACCGAATCACCTGACAAACAACACACGCTACGAACAGTAAGCGACCATGAAGCACAGATATCAAACAAAGGCCTATGTAATGAATACTATACGATCTTTAACGTTTAGATCATAGCCTTGTTTTAACCGCTATTATAAACCCAAAGATCTATGCAAACAACACTAATGCTATATGGTCTTACGTTTAGAACCTTGAACTAAATTTAACCACAAACTATTATAAAACAACTTTTTTTTTAGACTATAGTCTCACGTTTAGAACTGATTTAACCACTAACTATTATAAAACATTTTTTTTTTAGACTATGGTCTCACGTTTAGAACTGATTTAAGCACTCACTATTATAAAACAACTTTTTTTTTTAGACACAACGTACTTGGCGAAAGCGGGGTCGTGCTGTTGTTCGGCGTCGAGAGTGTTGGAGGTGAGGAAGTCCTTTAGGACGGATGGCTCTGGCACTATTCCGCCTCTGTGGCCCTTCCGGCGCTTGTGTCTGCGAGGGGGGAGAGGGAGAGAAACAGAAGGGGTTAGTTAGGGTGTGGCATCTCTGTGGGGGGAGAGGGGGGGAGTGTGTGTGGGGGGGGGAGGGTTAGTCTGTGGGATCTCTGTGGCGTTAGGGGAAGTGTGAGGGGGGGAGAGGGGGGGGTTAGTCTGTGGGATCTCTGTGGCGTTGGGGAAGTGTGTGGGGGGGGAGGGGGGGGGAGGGTTAATATGTCGAGGGAAGTGTGGGAGGGTGAGGGGGGAACAGTAGTTAGGTAGTTTATAATTGATAATTAATAATTGTGTGTAGGCATCTGTTTGTGTTTGTATTTGTATTAACATTAATTACATGGCGAACGATAGGAATATGTGTGTGTGTGTGTGTGTGTGTGTGTGTGTGTGTGTGTGTGTGTGTGTGTGTGTGTGTGTGTGTGTGTGTGTGTGTGTGTGTGTACGTGTGTGTGTGTGTGTGTGTGTGTGTGTGTGTGTGTGTGTGTGTGTGTGTGTGTGTGTGTGTGTGTGTGTGTGTGTGTGTGTGTGTGTGTGTGCGCGTGTGTGTGTGTGTGTGTGTGTGTACGGGGAATCCCCGCGAACTCACCTCTTGAGGCGCATCTCGGGCGACACGTGCAGGACCGGCATCCCGCTGGCGCGAACCACGTCCAGCACCGTGTGGTTCCCCAGGAAATGACCTGAAAGCAGAAAAATCACGCATTTCAATCACGCGGGTCTCTTGGTGGTAACGGCGAGGCTGGAGGAGGAGATGCAACTGACGGAGGTGAGGGAGAGGGTGTGGGGCATTATGTGAGGGTGGGCAGCTGGGAAGGATATTTCGATTGTTTCTTTCCTGTCTGTCTGTCTGTCTTTATTCTGTCTCTCTGTCTCTGTCTCTCGCTCTCTCTCTGTCTCTCCCTGTCTCTCTCTGTCTCTCGCTCTCGCTCTCTCTCTCTCTCTCCCTCTCTCTCTCTTGTCTTGTCTGTCTCCCTTCTCCTTCCCTCCCTCCCCAGCTTGATTCCACGGTACAATAATTAGAGCCATAGTAATAATAATTATATTAATAATGAATAATAATAATAATAATAATAATAATAATAATAATAATAATAGTTAATAATAATAGTTAATAATATTTATCTTCATCATCATCATCACTATCATTATCATAACAACAACAAAAACAACAACAACAACAATAATAATAACAATAATAATAACGACAACACTAATAACAATAACAATGTCCCATGTTGCCCAAAGGACGAGTGTTGCTATATCGAGGCATCAGGAAGTGCAGCGGCAACAGCAACGCATAAGTGCAATGGGGAGCAACAGCGAGACAAATCCCGTTTAGTTGCAAGGCTTATTGCAGTAAACCTTGAGCGTCTCTGAATTATCACTCACACGTGGCGTTTTTTTAATGCAAAATGTAAAGGAAAAGGGGGGAGAGGGGGGGGGGAGTTAACTTGATGAATAAGGGAGGGATTTTCGTGAATAATTATATGCAAAGACGGACGCTGGAATGTAATATGTAAGGGATAGGACGAGTTAACTTGCTTTGGGAATGAGGGAGAAGGAGAATTATGAGAGAATTGTTGAAATGTTGAATAACCTTGAATAAATGAGATTGCTGACGAGGCCTATGCTATTTTTTTGCAGTGTGGAGTCAGTGGTGTGTGTGTGTGGTGTGGTGTGTGTGTGTGTGTGTGTGTGTGTGTGTGTGTGTGTGTGTGTGTGTGTGTGTGTGTGTGTGTGTGTGTGTGTGTGTGTGTGTGTGTGTGTGTGCGCGCGCGCTCTATGTCGGGGCATGTACGTTTATGCACGGTGTGTATAATAATATCTCTAATCCTTCACTTCCGCTGTCACTCTCTCTCTCCGCTCCTTCCCTTCTTCCTCCTCCTTTCTCCACTTCCTATTTTATTTCTTTCCCATCCCTTCCTTCCTTCCTTCCCTCTCTTTTTCCTCTCTCCTTTCTGTCTCTCCCCCTTCCCCTCTGTCTGTTTATCTGTCTGCCTGTCTGTCTGCCTGCCTGCCTGTCTGTCTGTCTGCCTGTCTGTCTGCCTGTCTGCCTGTCTGCCTGCCTGTCTGTCTGTCTGTCTGCCTGTCTGTCTGTCTCTGTCTCTCTCTCTCTCAATCAATCCCTCCCTCTCTCTCTCTATCTCCCTCTCTCTCAATCCCTCCCTTTCTCTCTATCTATCTCTCCCTCTCCATATGACAAATGTCTGCCATTTGTGTCCCCTCAAGGATATATCATGTCCAGGTGAAACGAGGGGAAAAAAATCACGAAACAACTCAAATGTAAAGAAATACAAACAATTTTCAAAATCGACCAAAAAAAAACTAATATGATAATTTTTTTTTTTTTTTTGACGAGTCTTATGAACTTTAACAGTCAGCATTCCTATACCCCCCAAAATAAATAAATAAATATATAACATTAGATACAAGTAAATAAATCATTAAAAATAAACATTCACAGAAACGAAATGATGAAGAGAAAGAGAGGGAGAGAGAGACAGGGAGAGAGTCGTTATCAGTCTCGTTTCGAGCAAATTATCTTTTATCAATTTATCTACAGATATTGAAATGATAATAAGACGTGTGTGAGTGTGTGTGTATGTGTGTGTGTGTGTGTGTGTGTGTGTGTGTGTGTGTGTGTGTGTGTGTGTGTGTGTGTGTGTGTGTGTGTGTGTGTGTGTGTGTGTGTGTGTTTACAAAAGGTGGAAGATTGCGTTCTTAATACTAATACACTTGATAAAACACAAGAGGCAAACCTAAAAGAATAGAAAATAAATAAACAACCACTACCTTTCCATTAAACCGTCTTCTTCCCACGAAACATTATGCAAGAGTGTGAAAATTAACGTATCAACGAAGGAGAGAAGGAGAGAGAGTGGAAAAAAAAAATATTTTGGTTTCGAAATTGCTTATGTCAGACCTCTCTCTCTCTCTCTCTCCCAGGCATAAACATCCGTGCACGTGTTGGTAAGACGTGGCTGTCAGCTAGTTTGCATTTCCGTATCTGTCTATATCTTTGTGCCTGTCTGTTTCTTTCTCACTTCTGTCTGTCTGTCTCTTTTTCACTTCTATCTGTTTGCTTGTCTTTTTTTACGTCTGTCTGTTTGCATTTTTCACTTCTGTCTGTTTCTTTTTTTCACTTCCGTCTGGCTGTCTCTCTTTCTCACTTCTCTCCTCTAATTTCTAAATTCATTTCACACTTCCCACTTCACCTTCTTTACATCTATCTTCTCTCTTTTCACCCCTCACTTCCCTCTTCTCACTGCTCACTTCTCTCCTCACATATCAAGCTCACTTCTCCTGTCTATCATTAAGGCCTATGCTACGTACTCGGCTCTCGTACGTTCATTCCCTGCCTATAGCCTTGTGATAACAGCAAGCTAGCATATGTTCATTAAACTCTGTAAATGTTTATAGTTTTGCCTCTCTTGTTACCAAGGCTATTTTGTATAAGTACATGGTGTATATCCTATATAATTTTTGTAGTCCGTATTGAGTTAATATTATTTAGGGTCATTTCACATATTGCGTTTGTGAATAATGTGTATATATATGTATTACCGTCTGTGGAGGGTATGCATCTATAATGATCTAACTAATTAAACTTGAGATGATTAAACTGATCAAAAGGAAAACCGCGACAGAAGAAAAAAATCAGTAGTCCCTTTTACATTCTGCTGATTTCTCCTTCCTCTTTGTTTCATTCTCTTCCACTTCTGTTATCATCTTCATCATCTTATTATTATTATTTAATTTTTTCTTCCTTTTCTCGTTCTTTTTTCTTGAGTGTGAGTGTGAGTGTGAGTGTGAGTGTAAGTGTAAGTGTAAGTGTAAGTGCGAGTGTAAGTGTAAGTGTAAGTGCGAGTGTAAGTGTAAGTGTAAGTGTAAGTGTAAGTGTAAGTGCGAGTGTGAGGGTGTGAGTGTGCATGTGTGTCCGCGCGCCCGTGTGTGTGTCCATCTATTCCTCTACTCAAAGCATATACAATCCTTTCTTTGGCGTCACTCAAACAAAACTAGCAGTTGCCTTGAGCTTGTGTTATTTCGTGAGCCAATTCATAACAACGGACGTAAGAACGAAGTCGGATATTTCTCCTTCCTGGCGTCTTCTCAGATCATCATTATGCAAAACTCTTCTAAGGCAAAATGAATACGAGCTAATCAGCCTGGCATTTCAACTCCATTAAGAAATTTCTAGTAAATGGTAATAAGCTAAAATAATTAAATTTCGTCTCTTAAATCAGTTAATCCTTCACTTTTTTTCCTTAGACTTGGAACGACTTTCAACATGATAAAACCTTATATGTAAATTCACTCAATATCATGTAAATATTAAACACTTTCATATAACTTTCCATAAAATCTGGCGCCATTAACTACTCTCATATAATTAATTGTCTCAATTGTTATGTAACTGCCCATCAATAACTGCAAAATTAAAACATACTAATATTAGCTACTACCACAATAATTGTTGATTTCGAAACATTCTTTAAATATCACATAAATTTCTTGAGATACTGTTAATAGCAACATGTTCCTCACTTTAATAATAGACGAGTTTACCCTCCGTTCTCCGTTCTCTCTGTTTTAAAGCATGGTTAGATTCAAGGGGAGACTCTTCTATTTAAGCCAAGATTATCACTGCTCTCTTATATTAAGAGAATAGAAAATAATAATGAGATAGATAGATTGATGAATGGACACATAAGTAAACAGGTGCAAATCCAAATAATTGCTTTCACATTTTGAGGAAATAATCAATTTAATAATGCATTTCGCTGTCTTTCGCTATAAAATTATTAATGTTTATATCATAATGTTATCCTTTATACTAATTATTAACAGTAATAACACTTTAGAATTTGTACATATAATTAACGGGCTTTTTATCGCTACAGATATGCAATGTTATGTAGTATTATGTGTTATAAAAACGTTACCAATATTATCTTAATTCTTACAAAAGCAGATCTGAGAAAAATATTACTTGGTGTTTATCCAATATACTGAATACCTATTGTAGGCCTACTTCATGTTTTAATGAAGAAAAAACAATATACTTCACTTCATCAAACACACTGAATGCACTGATAGAATTCCAATCAATGAAGAATGTATTTCACTCGTAATACTTATATCAATCAAATTACACGGTCATGAATACAAAACGAGAGAATGAGGTACAGCAAAATAAAATCCATTCATATAACAAATCTTTTGCCAAATAAGTATTTCAGCAAATCATTGAAACTTATTTGTCTATTCTCTTTTCACCGTGTCATAAGTAACAGTAAATGAAAAACACATGACAGTGCGTCAGTTATGTCTATTAAGAGACAATGGCGAATCGAGAGAGATTAATACTATACACCAGCCAGTCATTTTTTACTGGACAATCAAAAAGGACAAATACACGAACATGTTTACCTTCATCTGACTTTTGTTATTATTAGATTAGAATAAGATAAATTTATCTGACTGACCTGACTCTAACCGCAACGAACACCCCCCCCCCTCCTTTGTTCGTACTCGCTCCCCAAGCTCTCCAAAATCACGCCTTTTCAACACCCACTGATGTTGACAAACCCTTGTTTTGCAACGTTGTGCATAGTTATGTGCATGGTTTTAGGTATGGTGCTCGGTCCGACTGAATGCCTAACGTCTAAAAAAAAAAACT